TCTGCCATTTTTGAACATTCTATTCCAAATACAGGCCATTTGCCCTCACTCCTTAGAGCAGGCTTGTTAACCTGAGGTCCTGAGATGGTTCATGGATAAACCATTCACTAAGTTCATTAACTTGAATGGGATCTTTATTTTAAATTAACCCCTAACTAAAAATGGTATTTCTCTCCTTTAAAGAGAAACAGCAGTATTAGAAGTACCTGTCACTTTGCCATGAGTAGAAATCAGGGATATTTTCACATCACATCTTGGTTGTTGCAAAAACATGGAAGTGTTATTTACACTCATCATTCTTTGAAATTATGCCACTTATTAGAGCTGCTGCTAAAGCTTGTTATTTAAAGTGTTAATACAGAATGTATCACCACATCACAAGTTTGAAAAGATATTTTAATTACTTTTATTATACTTAATATTTTGACTGACTTATAGTGGTTTCCTTTGCAAATCTATTATTTTATTTCATGAGTTTGTGGTTTTTTTTAATCCTTACCTGAGGATATTTTTCCATTGCTTTTCAAAGAGAATGGAAGAGAGAGGGAAAGAGAGAGAAATATCGATGTGAGACACATCGATTGGTTGCCTCCTGCACATGCCCCAACCAGGGCCCAAGCTGGGGAGGAAGCCTGCAAGCGAGGCATGTGACCTTGACTGGAATCAAAACCGGGACCCTTCGGTCCACAGGCCGATGCTCTATCCACTGAGCCAAACTGGCTAGGGCTGACTTCATGAGTTTTAAAACTTATTCTGAGTGAGGTTCCTAAGCTTCTCCAGACTCAGAGGTCTGAGGCACAAAAGAGATTAAGAACTCCTGCCCTGCAGCAACCCTCTGCCCAGGCTTGGCCAGATGCACCTTTATGTTCCCCATTTTTAAAAGATTTTGGAAGAATGATTGAGATTTATTACCCAAAATTTGTATTAGTGCTGCTTTACTGTCTCTTAATACTAAGCATATAAGAACCCCTCTAGGTCCCAGGAGTTTTATTTCTACCCCAAAGGGTCTCAGACTAGCTTGAGTTAGGAGCACCTGCCAGAAGAAACTGTCTATTTAAACCATTTATTTGAAATTATTTATTTGAATCATTACTGGTACATCAATTCCATTTCTGGAGGGATGTTCACCTTCAGGGCCCTAAAATACCTGGCTTTGCATTTTGATGGGGCAGACACAGGTGTGACACCCCGCCCTCCCCCAGCACACATACCTCCTCCCCAGGGCAGTGACCTCCTGGGAGCAAGTTCAGCTTCATGACTGCAAGCAGGACGCAGAGCATATTCCCATTTCTTCGTCTGGCTGGTGGGCTGAGGAGAGGAAAACCCATTCATGTGGTCAGGCCTGGGCACCCTCCCAGGGAGACCGTGCACCCTTGGTTTACCCTGTAGCCCTCGGAGACCAGGTCACCCCTGGTCAAGCTCAAGACTTAGCCTCACTGTGGACCTGCCTCTGGGTTGAGGGC